CGTTAGGAAACAAAACTTCCAGAACACGGCCACACAGCCCGGAAGGCCCACACCAGCCATCTCTTCAAATCCTCTGACACAGTCTATGGATGCCAAGGCTGGCCAAACTTGCAAACTTTAGTAACTAATATTTTGATGCAGTAAAGTGTTTTTATATTAGTTATCCTTGAAACCAGAACATTTGCTCTGATTTTTACTATTTTGAGCTTCATCGATTAATTATGTAACCGTAACCTATCTATTCATACCTGCAGTACAATCCATTTCATCTTCAGTCATGCTACTCACAAATACCAAGTTTTTGTGAAGTAAATGTAAATTATGATTCATTTATTTATTCTCCTCACAGTGGCTGCCTGTCGTTAGCATTTTAATATGCTTAGCTTCAATACCCATCAAAATATATGCCTGCCCGGTCATTCCTGGTTGGAATCACTGCTGTATCTTAATGCTGGTTTATTTCAAAAAATAGTAACCATTTTTAAAAAATCACAATTGTTTTATTTTTTGTTCTGATATATATAATTAAAAATTTTGATTATAATAGTAAAATCTAATACTAACTAAACTTAAAGAGAGGATAGGAATAAAAAGTGCTAGAAGAAAGAGAAAGAAAGAGAAAAGCAGAAATATGATAAGGAAAGAGAAAAGAACTATATAAAGAAGTAGCTTCCAACCTTCATCACAACAAATGTAAACACATTTAATGACTCTTCACTCTCTTTAAAGTTACAAACATTTATCTCCCTCCCATATCCCATCTCTGATCTATAAACAAATCCATAAAAATTGCATCTTTTCAGTCCTCGTGTCAGCAGAGAGTCCATAAAGGGTTGCCAGAAGTAACAACATATCTTGTTTTAACTTTGATGAAATAAACCAATTTCATATTCCTTCCTTTTATTTCTAACAGTATTAATCTTTAGTTTGTTCAAATATTGACGTAGGATTTGATTTCTCTTCATTTCTTCTTTGTCCCATTGCATGGAGTTCTTCAAGGCTTTAACAAGCCTCTTTTGTAAATCCAATAGGAAAAAATTACCCTCTTCACTCTCTTAGTTTGTCATTTGTATTTCCCTTTTAAATCTTAAAACCTCAGCCAATTTCTTTTGTAGATCCAGTGAAACATC